AAAATAATTACAAGTTTTCACGGCTGGTTCGTGGTCGGACCCCGCCGTAACACATATCCTCCCTTCATATTTGAGTTCTTGTGTTCTTTTTTGTTTGCGAGCTTACGAGGCGGGACAAGTCTTTAATGCACGCAAAATGCCCCGCGGATCCTGCACGTACAACAGATTTGCTTCTCCATCTTCTTATTTGTTAGCTATATCGGGAGAATCTCTTTTTTCCCTCGAAGTCGTAGTTAATGGAGATGTCGTTGAGATGTTCGAACTTTTTAATTTGATTCAACGTCATCGGAAACATAATGTCTTGGAGATTCAGAATCGACGTGTAATGCGGGTACGACGATTCGCGATCTGTATGCCATTCGGCTGGATGCAGAGCCGCGACCACGCGAAACACGCACTGTCTCCGGATCACGGATCACCGTTCGCTTTAACATAATTTTCCGCGGTAACTCAATGTAACATCCCGCGTGTAGAGGATTATATTTGTTCACGTTTACTGTGAGATTGAGAATTCGCGACAACGTCCATCCACTGTTGCGTTCTTGGAACTCTTCAAATGACGCCAACGTAGGTTTGATGACGTGCTACTCGTACCACTCGTCCAAATTTAATACTCGAAAGAGTTCACAGTATTTCGTGTTTATACTTATTGGCATCTTTTATCACCCGTCACAAACTCGCCGTTGAACGCGGTGTTTACTTTCACACTATCGCGTCTTTGTACAATGTCTCGCACTCGCTCGAGCACTACACCATCAGCATCTTTAAAAAATCGCCGCGGTTCGATATAGTCCACGTTAATCATCGCAATCAATATACGGCTTTCAAACGCCGTATCAATTTCGCGCCAAACGAGAGATCCATTATCTCTACTGGTGCTCGCGTACTCGCCACCAACGTGCACGAAACTTTCTAATTGTACCTTTGCACTCGCGAGTCGCGCAATCTTCGCCATAGATTGTCTATTTATAATGGTGAGTCGAGAACGCTTAACACGGTTAAGTTCCTTGAATTGTTCGATGCACTCGTCATATCGTTGAAGTCACGCGAAACGCTCCACCAAGGTAGCGACGTGGCTGCACTGCTGTAGCAGCTCGCGTTCCACTCGCTCTAGGGGTTCCATATTTCTCTCATTCGATTGATTTATTAAACTTCCAAAGCACCTATTGTGACCCCGCGTGCCCAATAACTTATTATATTATATATCATCTGCAGTTTCTTTTGTCCCACTGACTAAACCGAAGCATCGTCGTACGTTTGCAACCGAGTCGCAATTTGTTTATTTATTTGTTTATAGCAGCCGGATTATCGGCGCTTCTCTTAACACGTCGCGACACGTACGACGATTTCCACAAAAAGCCATTTTATCACGGTTTTTCCTGGAAAAAATTTAAACACGTCATCGCGTTCCTTTTGTAAACATCTTTTGCTACATGTTTGATCACAATGAAATTCTGAGAAAGAGAGGGGAGAGGGGGGAGATTAACGGTTTATATTAATGACTATATCAAAATTTACGCGGATGCGATCAGTCCTCCATCGAACGATCTGCACAAAAAGTACTCCGTTTCTCCATCATTCGTTTGTATGAACGATCAACACGATCAATGTACTCCACCAAGGGAAGTAGCGCATAGCGTACGATGGCGAAACAAAGAAGGAAACGTAATGCGTAAGTTTCAACTGCATTTTATTTTTTTCTGTTTTTTTCCAATATTATAATAATATAATATTATTGCAATATTATATATTTAATTTCCACAGCATTTTGGTAGAGCATCGCGCGATGCGCTTACTGAGCAGACATTACACTCTGGCCATGGGCTTCAAATTTTTGGAAATTAGAATCAACGTTGATCCACCGAGCTACGTGAAGATCATTCTGGGATATCATCGGGGACAGGGAACTGATACTGTTTCTCAAAACGTGAAAGGGACTCTACGAGCAGCGATGGAATATTTATAAATTGCTGCGAAACAATTACAAAGACAATTTTATAAGCGTCGGACCGTTAACCGTCAAAGTTTGTCTGATGAACGACGTTACACTTGTACGTCTTGAATCTTTGAACGTACGCATAATGATGATCGAATCGACGTTACGCCGAATGTTTGATCTAGACAAATGTATCGATGTGACGTTCGATCGATTCGTCAGATTCGTCGATACGATGCCAAGTATACGCGATTCTCCAATATCGCGTCTGTTGTAACAAATCCCGAGGAAGTACGGGAAGAACGCGATATGCGATTGCGATATCTTCGATAGACGTCACTTCGTCGATTGCAAGTTGTTAGCTTTAGTTTTCAGTGTGTAAGAAAAAAATGTGAATAAAAAAAATTTCACGCTTAAATAAAAAATGTGTTCAATTTAGAAAAATAAAGATATATAATATGCAAAACATGTATTTCTTTTACTCCTTTCCTCCCGCCATAAAAATAATTATCCGAAAAATATAGTCATAAGATACGTAATAAGAGAGAGCCGCAATGGGAGGGAGAGAGATAGAAGATAGTACGTATGAGAGAGA